TTGGAAGAACATCCTCTGGATCTGGAAGGGGGGGGACGAAGAAGGGCTCCAAGCCTTGGATCCCTTCCTCTGTCGCCCGCTCTGACCGCCGCGCTCTACACGCACTTCTGACGCGCATCCCCAGTTCGGGGCGGGGCGTTCCGCCGCCATCTCCCCCACCCCCCCGGTTCAATAGTGCGCAGGCGCAGGTCTGGGCTGGAGCAAGAGAAGGCGCTCTCTCGTGGCGGATTGACCGACTCTCACCCTTTGTTGTTGGTGCTTGGGGAGGCGAAAGCGGTGGGGGAGAAAAATGTGGGTGGAGTCTGAGAGGCAGATGCGAGAATCAGATCACAATGAAGAGAATTCCTTTCTTTTGTCCCTCATGACAACATATTATCCCCCGTTTTAGATGCAGATAAAGGAAAATAAAAAAACAAAAACGACCCCCAGAGATCAAGAGACTTAGGGAGACAGGTTCAAAGAATCTGAAATGGAACCGGAGTTGGGAGATGGGTTCATTCGTTCATTCATTCACTCAGCAAATATTCACTGAGCTGAGGAAAGACGGAGACAAAGAACCAGAGGCACTAAACGGAGGCTTTGACGGGCAGATACTGGGCATAAATCTGGGGAGACAGATGCTGACGGAAACGAAGCGGAGCCGGAGAACCAGCCCGGTTAGGAGCTGAGGGTAGGGCTGGGGCACCAGGAGAAAAGCGTGTACAAGGGAAGCTCTGGCTGAGCTTTCAGAGACACCGCTGAGCGAAACAGAAATGCCGATCTGACTCCTCAAGTTCCCAGATGGATGCGCCAACTGGTAAGGACTAAAACGAGCCAAACGACTCCCAAAGATGGGACAACCAGGAAGGACATTAGCTGCAAAGGATTGAAGCAAGCAAATAGGTTTAAAGCCACAGGGTCAAAATGGCACTACTAATTAAAAAAAGCTAACTGGTCACTGTTTGGAGGATGCTCGGGAACCAACTCGTTATTTCAAAACTAGTAAATAAAATGAATCAAGCATTTATCCTGCCTTTCCTGTATGAACTATGCCCCTGGGAAGCCAAATAGCAAGGGAGGGTTAGTTTCTCTAGTCTAGAATTGTTCCAGCTAATAAAGAACGAGTGACCAAATTTGGATATCACCATTTTGCAAACCATAATGAACTGATGGACGAGGCGTTGAGCGTCAGTGACTGCCCACACCACAAAGAGACATATATGCCTCCTGATAGAGGAAGCAACACCACCACCTATGAAGTGGTCTTGCCAGAGAAAAATTGAACTTGCTCAGGCCAATAGATCCAGCTACAATGTATAGAAAACAATAATTTAAAGGAAATACAATTTATGCGAAATGCGGAGGCCAGAGGAACACGTGAAAGAACACCATAGAGACGCAATCAGCAAAATCCAGACTGTGAGAAAGTCTCCAGAACAAATGACCTGGTTTCTTCGTGAAGTACAGAAAGAGAGAGTGGGGCGGGATCTGAGGATTAAAAGAGACTGAAGAGAGATCTATCAATCAATTACAATGTGTACACCTTATTTGGACCCTGATCAAACAGATAAATTGTAAAACAAATTATGACATTTATGAGACAATTGGAAATTTGGTGTTAAGAAATTATAATTAATTTTTAGATAAAATAATGTGATTAGGTGTAATAATTGTGATTATGTTGAAAAAAAAGGAGTCATTATCTTTTACAGACTTGGTGGTGCAACGGTTAAACACTCGTCTGCTAACCGAAAGGTTGGTGGTTAGAATCCATCCAGCACCTTTGTGGGAGAAAGACCTGGCGATCCGCTCCCGTAAAGATTACAGCCTAGAAAACCCTATGGGGCAGTTCTGCTCTGTAGCTTTGAGTCAAAATCGATTCAATGGCATCTAACAACAACAGTAACATCTTTTAGAGTTACACACTGAAATATTTATAGATGAAATCGAATGGGAGGGAAAAATTGGGAGGGGTATAGCCGAAACCAGATTGAGTATGAGTTGTTAATTGATGAAGCTGGGTAACGGATACATAGGGGCTCATTGTACTATTCGGTGTACTTTTGTTTTACTTTACAATGCCCAAAATAAAAGTTTAAAGAAAAGGTGGGGTAAAAAATCTGTGTCCCTCACTCCAGCTCCCAGTGACCAAAGGACAGGAGGTGCTGAGTGTTACATACAGTTTGCAACCCAGACAGGAGCTCCTCTGGTGGGCCAGGAACCTGGAGTGGCTTTCCGGAGGCTTCTAGCTGGCTCCTGGGACAGCCCCTCGCTCCGCTGAAGGGGGCGAGAGGATCTCCCCCAGGGAAAGTGGCTGTAGCTTTCCCAGTAAGGAAGGCCTCTGTGGGTCTGGTGGAACTGGGTACAGGCACTGCCACCTTAAGACAGCTGAGGGTGTGAGTGGGTGGCTCCAAAAATAGCAGGGGAGGCAGCAGTGGGGAGGGAGGGGAGTCACATGGAGCAGCCGAGGGGCTGAGGCCTGGGCAGCTGGCCCAGAGCCCTCCAGCTCTTCCTTTGCCTCCAGAACGTTCTTTCCTCTTGTCCTCCCTCTCTGAGAAGGCAGAGGGATGCCAAGGTGACTCTGGGGCAAACACTACACCACCTGAGAGGTTGAGTGGACACTGCTGACTCTGGAATTTGGTAGCTCCCCAGGGACAGGTGGGATGGTCATGTGGGGAGAGAGAGGAAAGGACAAGGACTATGTAACCTACCAACCAGTCACCCCAATGTGCAGACCAGTACCCTTCCCCTGAGGCTTGATCTTAGGCAGGTTCCAGACGTCCTTGCCTGGAGCATTTGCTTGGGGTTGAGGTGGACAGCACCCTTCAGCTTGTAGCCCTTGAGGGATGCTCACATAGCCACCAAGAAGTGTGGACACAGGGCATCCGTGGATCAGTCCCTGCCTCCCTCTCAGGGCACTTGGGGAAGGTTGTCCCTTTGCCTGCTCTGAGTGGGAGGCCCTGGAAGAGAAGGGCACCCTCTCCTTTACTCCAGGACCCAGATGCAGGAAGGAAGGGGAAGTGGTGTCCAGCCAGCAAGTATATCAACAGCTGTCATCTGTTGAGGCTTTATTCATAGAAAGTGACTTACAAGCATTCAACTCATCTGAAGTGTGACTTTGGATAAGTTACACACGCCTCTGTGCCTGTTTTCTCATCTGTAAAATGGGGGTGATAATACCTGCTTCATGGAACTGCTGTGGGGATGGAATGAGTTAATATATGTAACCATATGTAAAAGCTTCAGCACAGTAGCAGTCAAGGGTCAGGCTCTGCCTGGACAGGAGTTTATCTCTCACCGTACCCTCAGTGCCCAGCACATAGTAGGTGCTCAGTAAACACGTGCTGAATTCATGGTTTTGTTGATTGCTTACAGTGACTCTGAGAGGGGAGCATTTTTCTCACCTGTTTGCAGCTGTGAAAACTGGCCAAGAGAGGTTGAGTGACTGGCTCCAGGCCACACCTCCAGCAAGTGGTCCTGGTGGGACTCAGTCAGGCCTGCCAGCCTCCAAGCCTGTGTGCTTAGCCACTGCTCCCTGTGCCTGTGAGCCAGAGAGGGCACCTCCTCACTTCACCTATATCCACCTGGCTGGTCCTTGCTGGGGTACCCTCTGGGGATGCTTGGTCTAGGGATAAAGGCTCAATGAATGGGCACCTTAGTGTGCTGTTAAGGAAAATGTCACCTAGCCTCCGATACCTACTATGTGCTAGGCCCTGCACCAGGTCCAGGGACACAAAGCTAATAATATCCTAATCTCCAAGGGGAGTCCCTGGGTGGTGCAAATGGTTAAGTGCTTGGCTACTAACTGAAAGGCTGGTGATTCCAATCCACCCAGAAGTGCTTCCAAAGAAAGGCCTGGTGATCTACTTCCAAAAGATCATAGCCACTGAAAACCCTATGGAGGACAGTTCTATTTTGAAACACGTGGGGTCTCTGTGAGATGGAATCTAGTATACGGCAACCAGTTTGGGTTTTTGGTTTAGTCTCCAAAGAGCTCAGAACTCCCACAATGCTGCGTGGTTGGGGTTGGAATAGGGATGTGCACAGGAGCTAAAGGGGCACCCAGCTCTGCCGGTTACAAAGGCTTCAGAGAGGAGCATGTACCTGTGCCGAGTCTGGAAAGGGTCGTGGAAGTTTGCAGGTTGGATGGGGGTTGGATGAGGGCAGGAAGGGAACTCCAGGCAGAGGGAAGTTGTGCAAAGGTCTGTAGACTGGAGAGAACACAGCAGGTTAGGGAGCAGCAGGATGTGGCTGGGCAGCAGCCCGGGCGTAGGGGTGGCCGGAGGAATACTGTGGAAGATTCAAGATGGGATGGCCAGGTACAAAAAGAGCCTTGGGTTAGCTATCTAGTGTTTTAGCTATCTAGTGCTGCTGTAGCAGAAATACTAAAAGTGGGGGGCTTTAACAAGCAGATATTTATTTTCTTATAGTTTAGGAAGCTAGAAGTCTGAATTCAGGGTGCCGGCTCTAGGGGAAGCTTTCTCTCTCTGTGTCAGCTCTTTTTAGCTTCTGTTCCTTGGCTCCTTGGTGATCTTTGTGTGGCATGGCATCCGTCTCTGATCGTTTGCTTAATCTGCTATTATATCTCAAAAAAGATTGATTTAAGCACACCCTACACTAATATTGCCTCATTAATATAACAAATGGGATTATAACCACAGGTATAGGGGTTACAATCTACAAGACATATTTTTGGGGGACTCAGTTCAATCTGTAACAGTAGCCATCAGCAGCTGGTGAACTCGGCAATAGCAGCCGTTAGCACTTTAAGGGGGCGACGGTCACCATGAGTCAGAATTGACTCGATGGCAACAGGTTTGGTTTTTTCGTTTTTGATGTTACCAGGTTGGCGTTTTAGAAAAACATACTCTGGGCACCGGGTGGAAGATGACAGGAGGGACATTGTTCCATGAGGACGGTGCCCACTCCAGATTCAATGCCTGCTCTGCGTGGGGATGGGGAAGGACCCAGCTGCTCCGGACGCCTCCCCCTCCGCCCTGCCGCCCCCCCTTCCCTGCTCTTGTCCCTGTCACTCACAGGGGCCTAGCTAGGCCGGGGCAGCCATGGCAGCAGCGCTGGTCGGGACTGCTCTCCTTGTGGGCAAGTTGGGGCCCTCTTCAGGGGAGAGGCCTGGGGCGAGGGGTGGCATTGAGGACTGGTGAGATGGAAGTTTGGAGGTCCTTCAGGATGGGTGAGGCAGAGGCTGGAGGGACTTTGGGGTGTTCATGTGTCTGCTCCTAGCGGTCCGGGGAACTGGGGTGTGGGCACCGGGAGTTCTGAGGGCTGATGGTGTTCTAGGACCCTCCGGGTCCTGGGCCCTTTAATGGGCTGGCTGGGCCGCTGCCACTTCTGTCTAGGCCCAGGCTAAATTTGGCCCTGGGCAGCAGGGTGGGGGCTGCTGGGCGGGCCCCAGGGTCCTCTTCTGATGCAGGTCCCAGTGCTCAGCCCCATAGGCCAGGCCCTGCCCCTCCCAGTACACTAGGGGAGGAAGGGGGTGTGCTGTGTCCAGAATGGCCCCCCTCCCCCTCCAAGGTGCCTTCTTCCGTCTCTCCCCTCCCGGCCTCCCAGACACTCAGGGTGGGGTTGTTGTCTCCAAACACACATGCATGCACGCTCCTCCAGCCAAACATCAGACTCTGCCCACTGTGACCCCAACAGGGGCCTAAAATGAGCAGTGGGAAGGTAGGCGCCCCTTCCCATGAATCCAAATGAAGGAGTCAGTCTCAAAAGGGGTCTTGTTACTGATTAAGTCGGGTAACCCAGCCGTCCCCTACCTCAGCCCCGCCCCGCCCTCTCCTGGGAGCTAGTGAAGGAGCCCCCTCCTCTCACATGGGGATGCCAGGGGCTTGGTGGGGAAGGGGCGCTTCTTATCCCCTGGCCCAGGACTGAGGCTGACCTGTGTGTGGGGTTCTGGGGGCCCGACAGGTCTCCTGGCAGGGCTGGCGGGCACGGAGCTCCAGCAGACCACCCTCCACCCGCTCGTGGGTCGCGTCTTTGTGCACACCTTGGACCATGCCACCTTCCTGCGCCTCCCTGAGAATGTCGGTGAGCAGGCCTGCGTGGACGCCTGGGGCTGGGCTGTGCTGGAGACCAGGAAGCCTGCCCAGGACTGGTGAAGGCTCCAGTTCTGCCTCCAACCCTCTCTCCTCTCTTCCACCAGCCGTCCCACCCTCTGTTCGCATCACCTACCATGCCCACCTCCAGGGACACCCAGACCTGCCCCGGTGGCTCCGCTACACCCAGCGCAGCCCCCACCACCCCGGCTTCCTGTATGGCACAGCCACCCCAGAAGATCACAGCCGCCAGGTCATCGAGGTACCAGCAGGGACCCCAGTGGGCTGTGTCCACCCCCTCAGAAAATCGCGGGGTGGTCCCTGTGGCCTCGGAGGATTTCGTGTTTGCTTACATTCAGGGGCAGATTACCCAGTAAGCAAGGTCTGCACCGGCTTACTTGTGTTTACTAATCTGCAGTGCACGATACCACAAGGGGTGGTGAAACCCATGTCAAACTGCGCACTATAGATTAGTAAGTAAGCACAAGGAAACCTGTGCATAGTTTGCTTAATATAAACCCGTGGGTACCTTGCCTAGGTTAATCCATCCCTGCTCACATTCATTTACATATAATCTTTTACCAGTTGCTATCTGGAACCATACAGAGAAAATTAGCATGGCCCCTGAGCAAGGATGACATGCAAATTTGTGAAATCTTCCATATTTTTTGGAGCCTTGGTGGTGTAGTGGTTAAAGAGCTCGGCTGCTAACCAAAAGGTCAAGCAGTTCGAATCAACCAGCCGCTCCTTGGAAACCCTATGGGGCAGTTCTACTCTGCCCTATAGGGTCGCTATGAGTAGGACTCTACGGCAAAGGGCTTTTGGTTATCGAGTAGATTCCCACTCATGGTGAGTTGATGTGTCAGAGTAGAACTGCTCCATGGGGTTTTCAAAGGCTGATTTTTTGGAAGTAGATCACCAGGCCTTTCGTTCAAGGCACCTCTGGGTGGGCTTGAACCTCTAACCTTTCAGTTAGCAGCCAACAGGTTAACTATTAACCATTTGTACCGCCCAGGAACTCCACGTATAATTTACATACCTCTGATGTGGTGTGGTATCCCAGTCCTCTCCTGCCAGGCCCCAGCTGTTCTACGTTCCTCCCCAATCCCACCTCCTTTCTCTCCCCACCCCCCACCCCCACCCCAGGTTGTAGCCTACAATCGGGACAGCTTTGAGACCACCCGGCAGAGACTGGTGCTGTTGATTGGGGACCCAGAAGGTACTACTAGCCCTGTTCCACCCCATCCCACCAGTGAGGATCTTCCGAAGGTGGAGGCTAAAGGGCATAGTGGAAGGGAGAAGCTTGGAGAGTAGTGGAGAGCAGGGCATCCTGGAAAGTGGGGACTCTGAGGGAGGAGGTGACATCTGAAAGGTTTTTAAGGGATGAGCCCTGTGTGAGATTCCAGACTCTGGCATTCTATTATTGGCTTCTCTGCTGACAGACTGTGTGGCCTTGGGCAAGTAGTGGAGGCTGCTGGGCCTGTGATGTGTAGGGTGTTGGGTAGGGGGAAGGGGAGGCAGGAAGGGGTGTGAGGGGAGGCAGTGACGAGCTTGCAGTGAGGCTGGGGGGCAGAGCTGGGGGCTGGGTGCAGTCTGAAGTACCCACTTGGCCCTCCCAGGCCCCCTGCTGCCGCACCAGGCTGAGTTCCTGGTGCAGAGCCATGACGTGGAGGAGATGCTGCCCTCGATGCCTGCCGGCCGCTTCCTCACAGCCCTGGGGGGGCTCTGGGAGCCAGGGGAGCTCCAGCTCATCAACATCACCTCTGCCTTGGACCGCGGGGGCCGTGTGCCCCTTCCCATTGAGGGCCGCAAGGAAGGGTAGGTGTGCAACCCAGGAAGCCTTCCTGTAAAAGGAGGAGACAGCTTGCCTATCACCTGGGTTGTGGGCTTAGCACAGGGGTCTCCTTAATTACCAAACCAAAACCAAACCCACTGCTATTGAGTCGTTCTCCTGCACAACAGCTGGTGGGTTCAAACCACTGATCTTAACCACAGTGCCAGGTGGGGCTTACCTACCCTCCAGTATCCTCACCCGGCCCATCTGTACCTCCCAGCTTCACACCACTGTGTCCCCTCCAGCCACCCCTTCATCTCCCTCTTGGCTTCCTTGGCCCAAACGCTAGTAACCCCAGACTCTGCACTTCCTGGTGCCTCATGAGGACACAGAGGATCCATCCATCTAAGAACAGTCCTGGAGGGTCAAGGCTCCCTGGAAGTATAGCATGCTCTGTGCACTCTGACCATAACCCCCGTCTCAGGGTGAGCCCTGTAACCCCCACATCTCCAGGGCTGGGCAACCCCTCCCCCACGTTACTAACAGCAGCTTCTATCTGGGTACAGGGTATACGTCAAGGTGGGCTCTGCCTCACCCTTCTCCACCTGCCTGAAGATGGTGGCATCCCCCGACAGCCAGGCCCGCTGTGCCCAGGGCCAGCCTCCACTTCTGTCCTGCTATGACACCTTGGCACCCAACTTTCGTGTTGCCTGGTGCAATGTGTCTCTGGTGAGGAGGGCCCCTGGCTCCAGGGGTAGAGGTGGAGCATGATCCCCAACACAGACCTCGCCCTCCCGCTTCTTCCCACCCCAGTCTCTCAGTGCCTGTCTCTTTCTCTGATTACCAGTCTGTGATCTCAGCTTTAGATACACACACGCAGGCGCGTGCGCACACACATCTTGAAGTTCTACCTCCTCCCACAAGAGGCCGACAGAGTCCACAATCCAGATGCAGCCTCCAACTCTGGGAGTCGCATACCGGTCCAGACCAAAGGCTACAGCCATCAGTCACTCCCCACAGGGCGGTCACAAACTCTTTCCCCACCAAGCGCCTCTGTGTGACAGCTCAGTCTGCGTCCCTTGAAGGTGTGACCTCGGAAACCTGCCTGTGATAAAAACAAAACAGGCCGTTGAGTCGGATTAGCGACCCTAAAAGACAGAGTAGAACTGTCCCGTAGGATTTCCGAGGCTGTAAATCCTTACGGAAGCAGAATGTCACATCTTTCTCCCACGGAGCGTCTGGTAGGTTCAAACTGCCAACCCTTTTGGTTAGCAGCCAAGAGCTTAATCACTGCGCCACCAGGGTAAGGAGCAAATAACTCTCATCCCCATTTTGTATAAACCAAAGACAGTTGCCCTTGCTGTTTGGGATACGGAGCAGAGGTATCTGTTGGAACAATGTTTAAGTGCTTGGCTGCTAACCAAAAGGTTGGTGGTTCGAACCCACTCACTGAATGCCTCGGGGAGAGAAAGACCTGGCAATCTGCATTTGTACAGATTACAGCAAGAAAACCCTATGGGACAGTTCTATTCTATCACATGGGGTTGCTATGATTTGGCATCGACTCAACAGCACACAGCAACAGTCTAGGGCCTGGAGACCCTGACTTCCTGGCTGGGAATTGCTGGTGAACTCTTTTCCTGAAAACTGACTGACAGAGTAAGGAGGGACTGGCTGTGGGCAACATTCCTGAGCGCTTGCTATATGCTAGACATGGCAATCACGTGTATTACCCTCACAACCACCCTAGCAGATAGGTGCCACTATTGCCATTCCAAGTTTACAGATGAGGAAACCGAGGTTCCTAGAGGTGAGCAAACCTAGCTAAGCACTTGTCCGAGTCAAGATTGAACCCAGGCAATCTGACACTAGGGCTCTGCTCTAACCATTATACTATCCTGCTTCTCCTAGAACTTGTCTCTCCCGCCTGCTAGTTCAGTGCGTGTCTTTCTAGGTCACACACGCTGGGGAAGGCAGGTAGGAGGGGCCCTGCCCTGTCCCCTGGGGGGCCTCTGTGTCCTACCAGCCACTCGTGGTCAGCCCTGGGTTCCTCAAGCAGGTAGACAAGTCAGTGCCAGAGCCCGTGGATGAGATGCCTACCCCAGGCGATGGGATCCTGGAGCATGACCCATTCTTCTGCCCACCCACTGAGGCCACAGCCCGAGACTTCCTGACCGATGCACTGGTCACCCTTCTGGTGCCCCTGCTGGTGGCCTTGCTGCTCACTCTGCTGCTGGCCTATGTCATGTGCTGCCGGCGGGAGGGACGGTGAGTGTTGGGGGAGGGGCGGGGGGGCGCTGAGCCTGGCACGCACATCCGCGGACCCCTGTGGTCCTTGTGTTCCGTGGGAACCCAGACCCCTCAGGGAGTGGGGTCCTTGACCAGAAGAGGAGAGCTCTGAGTCCTCTGAATACCAGGAGACGTCAGCGTGCAAATGAGCCCCTCCACATATACCCGAGCCCCTGGGGCACAAGGGGGCAAAGCCCAGGGCTGGCTAACCCTCTCCCTTTGCTTTTCCACAGGCTGAAGAGAGACCTGGTCACCTCTGAGTGAGTAGGGGAGAGTGGGGGGCTGGGTGGGAGACTTGTGCTGGACCCTCCAGCCCCCTAAGCAGCAGAGACAAACCAGAACTAGTCTCGCTTTTGTTACTCTGGGATGCTGGGGCCACCCTTGATCTCTGAGCCTTCAGCCAGGACTGACTGGATGCTGGGTCTGACCCATCCTGGCCTTGCCTTATTTTCTAGAATAAATGGAAGAGTCTCATGTGGGACAGGGCTTCAGGGGTTTGCTGCCAACCTGGGGGAAAGGGTTTGAGAACCAACTTAAGAAGCTCCCAGCACACACACACACACACACACACACACGCACACACACACACACTTCAATACGAGTCAGACTCCTGGGTTCCAGGCTAGCTCTGCCACATAATTACTTTGACTCCCGCCAAGCACACTTCCTTTCTGGGCCTAAGTTTCTCCACCTGTAAGATGAGGTGATGGGACTAGCTGATGTCTATGGATGTTTGCCATTTCGTCAGCCCTTCCCAAATCTGTCTCACCCTTAATTTGCCCTAGGTTTCCCCACCCATGGCCTTACCCTTCCTCTGCACTCCACTCTTCTTCCTCTCCCACTACCCTGTGCCCCAAATATTCCAGGAGGTGAGTCTGAAATCATTTAGGCTCCTTTTATTCGCACTGGACTGAGCCTGTAGCGGGCCTGGCACCCCTGCCCACCTGCCCGCCTGCCTCGTTAATTGCCACGGCATCTGGCCACCCTTCGGATGCACTTGTGCCCCTGTCTGGAGCCCAACGGTGATCGGTGCTGCCTAGGTTTGCGCAGCCTAGGCCGCTGATGCCCAGGCCGCCAATGCCCAGGCTGCCGATGCCCAGGCCGCTGCCGTCGCAGTGGCTGCCTCCTCTTGAGCTTGGGCTTGGACTTGGAGGCCTGCTTCTTGCCAATGCGGAAGGAGCCGGAGAGCCCCTTGCCTGTCACCTGCTTGAGCATGCCCTTGTCCACCAGCCCCTTGAGCACCCGCTTGAAGCGCCAAGCGTTTCGGGCCATGTTGTAGCCCATGGCGGTGACAGCCTTCTTCAGGGTGGGCAGGGACACGCGGTGGCGCGCCCCCTTGTCAGCCACAGCCTCCAGGATCACCCGGGACATGCTGGGCCTCCGGTGGGGTTTGGGAAAGGCGCGGTGCCCAGTCTCACTCTTGTTAGGGATACCGGACGTACTGGGCAGCCGGCCTCCTCCAAGGGCAGGGTTGGAGGCCAAGGGCACAGTTGACGGCAGTGGCGAGGTGTCTTTCTGCATCTCTCCCTGGGGTAGGTGAAGGGAGCTGGGTGCGAGGACCTCCAGGGTGGCAGCCAGAAGTCTCCACTGGGTTGCTCCTCGGTGGGTGGGTGAGGTGTGTCCCGGTTCCTGGTTCCCTCAGAGCCTTCCTTGTAGGGCTCTGGCCCGAGGTTTCCCCTGGGTGGTCAGAGAGGAGCAAGGATGATCACCCACGGCTGGCCTCAGCCAACTTGTGCCGAGGGTACAGGGGGCAGTAAGCTTGTCTCTGTGGTGACCTCAGGGGGATATTGTGAGGCTACCAGAATCCTGCGGGGGTCACAGTGGCCCCATTGTTCCCTCGTAGCAGGGGCAGGTGGGCAGTGCCAGGTCGCGTGGGCAGGTCCTGGGGAGGAGGGGTAGGATGGCTGGACCCAGATACATAGATCCACACAGAGTTTGCACACCTGTGAATGCACATATGTGCAGTGAGGGATCCCATCTCAGGGTGTTCTGAGCCCCTAGTTTTAAACCATCATCTTGACACCACCATCTTGACCCACTGAATGTTTGAGTCTCTGGGCTGAGGAATACAAGCATTTTAAAAATCAGAATGATATCAGCATTTGCGAATTTTCAGGTCCCTGGGTGGGCAAGTGGTTTGTGCTCGACTACCAACCTAAAGGTTGGTGGTTCGAATCCACCCAGCAGCACGTTGGAAGAAAGGCCTGGCTGTCTGCTTCCATAACAGTTACAGCCAAGAAAATGCTATGGAGCAGTTCTACTCTGTAACATATGGGGTCACCTTGAGTCGGAATCAACTTTGACAGCAACAGGTTTTGAATTTTTCTGGAGAATGTATTTTCCAGAGAGAATAGATACAGAATTCCTTGACCTGTTTAACTAAATTTAGTTCCTCCATCAACTTGCTATACAAAACAGTTAAAGTCTTCACTTTTTTTTTGTTTGCTTTCATTTTTATTTTATAGAATATTTTTCCACAATGGGAGCAATGATTTTCTATGTAAATTTTACCCAGAGGATTTTATTCCTCATTATTTTTGGGGCCTGTGCCAAATTTGATCAGTTAGATCTGCCATTGTGGATATTCTCTTGTGATCAGTATTTCCACCACGTCCAGCTTTCCTGGGTCGGTTTTGTAGACTCGAGTCTTCTCAGGAAAATTTGCTTCCTCCATCAATTTTGAATCAATAACAAATTTTACCGTGTGTGGTATTAGCCCTTGTCAGTTTGGGTTTTGTGTTGATTAAGTTCTACAAAATCCTGTTTTTTCCCTTGTTCAGTGTCTGCCATTTTTCAGATTATCCGTAAGTTATGATTCTGCTCCCTGTTTTCCATTTATATCAGATTTTATTTGTCACAAAGTCCCCCAACCCCCATGACCCTCAACTGTGGGTCTGGGTGTCAGTGGCAGGGTGTAAGGGGCCCATGTGTTGGTGGTGGGGTAGGCCTTGGGGCCTCCCGGCTGGTCTAGTAGCCACACCCACAGTGGTGTGTGTGTGTGTGTGTGTGTGTGTTTGTGTATGTGTGTTTGTAGGAATGCCTGCCCGTTTGTCTGCCCAAGTGCTGATGTGGAAGGATCGTCGGCGGAGGCACCGGGCTCTGGCTTCTGCTTCTGCTTCTGCTCTAGAAAACCATCGCAGAACTTTTTTCCATCTCTCTGAGTTGCCAAAGTAATGAGACCCAGATGTGGCTGGAGGGCCGGGAGGGGGGCTCTTAAAGGCCCTTCCTCCACCAGGGGGCATTACCTGCCTGGCTGCCTTGCTCTTGGTGTCCACACACTTCTTGCTCTCCCTTCCCCCTCAGTCTCCCCTTGCCCGGGAATGGAAAACTGTGTTTTGGAGAACTCGATTGCCAAATTCCAGACTTGAGAGCTCATCTTGACCCTCCCCCAGACTTAGATGGTGACTCCACCTCCTGCAGGCTAGACAGGACTTGGTCCCACTCTCCCCAGGAGGAGTGTGGTCTATTTGGTGCGAGACTAGTAAGTCCTTCTTACAGTCAAACCTCTCAGGCTCTAGCTGGAGTCTGCGTCTACTAATTGAGCCTTGGGCATGGCTGGGGATCTCTCCCCTTCCTCATCTGATCAGTAATCCAGGGGCAAGTGAGGTTGCTTCAGCTTTGCCTGGGACACCCACCCCTCCAAGAAAACCAATTCTTATTGCTTCTAATGAAAAGTCCCTGTTCCATTGTCTGTCTGACCTGGCAACATGGTAGTCTAGGAAACTCTCCAGGCTGGGCCCACAAGTGTCGGTGGGTTTGTGTAAAGGGGCTTGAAAACATCCTCCACTGAAGGCCAAGTTCACTGGGTGAGCTTGCTGTAAAAAACTAACACCAGTGATGATGATAATAATAGCAACTGTAGTCTCCCTATAATAATAGCTACCTTGCTGCATGCTGACCCAGAGATATTATAAGTGCTTTTCCTATATTAACTATTTAATTCATACAACAACTGTATTACAGCTGAGAAAACTGAGATACAGAGAGGTTAAGTAATTTGCCAAAGGTCACACAGCCAATAAACAGTGGAATCCAGATTCAAGCCCAAAGCAAGTCCTCCTGCTTAACCACTTTGCTACCCTGCCTCTCAGAAAGATCTAGAGCTGGCTCAACAATAGTAGAAAGCAAGCCCATGAGAATATCAAATGAGAATGGGGTTAAGGATTCTGAGGAAAACTGGAACTAGACTTCAGGAAGGACTTTCTGATGGGTGTGGCAGTCACTCCACTCAGTCCTGCTGGGATTTCCAGCCCATTGAGGCTGGTCCCGGCCCTCAAGGAGCCATGGTCTGAAACAAAGACAGGGAGACCAGACTGCGGCTGGAGCAAGGTGGAAGGTCAGTGTCAGGGGCAGCCTGGGCGGGACTGAGAGGGGGTTCGAAGGGAGTGGAAGACAGGCCTGAGGAGCCAAAGGGAGATGGTCAAGGCCTGGCAGGAGATGGGAGAGAGTGTTCCTGGAAGGGGAGCAGCTTGAGCAAAGGATAAGAAGTGTGAAAAGGTGAAGGAGAAGGCGAGGTTGCTACACCAACACAGAGATGGGGGGAAGGGTGCCCGGAGGTTGGAGAAAGCATGGGGGAGGGAGCTGAGTGCTCAAGGGGGCCCAGAGGGTTGTCAGAACATCAAACACAAACTGCAAACTCAGATGTGGGGACATATATCCACCGTGATATCAATTCGTGTCTTAGAATCTCCTGAGAACTCACCACTTGCTAGGCACTGTTCTACAACCTGAGCCTGCATTTTCTCATTTAAGCCCCCACAACAATCCTACGGGTTGGGCACTGTTATCATCCTCATTTTACAGCTGAGGAAACTGAGGCACGGATTGGTTAAGCAAAGGCACGCAGCTCTGAATCCAGGCTGCCTCCCCCAGAGTCTGTGCCTCAATCACTGGGCACTGAGCTAGCAACAGAGAGCTTTTGGTTTGTCCCATCCCTACCCGTGGTATGTTTGAGTCTCCCCCACATAATGGGTGGGGAAGACTGCAGGGTGGCTCAGAGGCAGCGCTAGGCTGGGCCCCAGAGGTGTAGTGAGGTGGGGTTAGAGGGAGGCAGTTGTCCCCGGGTGCGAGTCCAAGGGGGCGCCAGACAAGGCTGGCCTGGTGAATCACTCCCCTCACCATTGATGAGGCTGGCGGGGCGTGGGGGTCAGAGAAGCTGACTCCCAGGCCACTGTGCAAAGCTGCCAGAGCTGACATCTCCGCTGGCCCTGCCTGCCCCCAGCATCCAGATGGTCCACCATGGCACCATCCGCGGGAACACGGAGGAGCTGCGGCAGATGGCAGCCAGCCGCGAGGTGCCCCGGCCACTCTCCACCCTGCCCATGTTCAACGTGCGCACGGGCGAACGGCTGCCTCCCCGTGTGGACAGCGCCCAGGTGCCCCTCATCCTGGACCAGCACTGAGGGCCCGGCCAGGTGGGTTCAACTGGGCAGTGCCAGCCTCCTCTTACTGGGAACAAAGTAGTTGGGGCAGATGGTGAAGTATGGCGGAGGCCCAGGGGGAGAGGCACAGACCTGCCTGCCTCTGAGCTCAGCAGTGTCAGTGCCATGCCCTCAAGCACTCGGGGTCAGAGGTCAGGGTGGGGAAGGCAGGAGAGCCAGGGCCTAGCCCTCACAGCGCCCACTCTCTCTTTCTCCTGCTGTCCGTTTCCAGCCCTGGCCTCATCTTCCCTTCTCTTCCCACACAGAGAGCAGCCACGGTCATGTCCCACCTGCTGATTCCAGCCCCTGGCCCGGACCGGGCCCAGGTGCAGAACAAACAGAGAGATGGGGGTGGGGTGGGAGAGGCTGTCTGGAGTCAGGACCACCGAATAAATACCTACTGCTCTGCTCCTCTGTCTCTGCCAGTGTCTTCTCAGCTGCCTCCTCCCCAGCCTTCACTGCCTTCTCGTTTCCCTTTCTATCTCCTGGGAGTCTCCAGAGGCAGCCAGGGAATGCCACCCTGCCCTTTGGACTCTTGGTATTTTGCTGTTTTCTCAAATGCTCTACAGAAGAAAGGGAAAGGAGCTGCTATAGGTGACCCTGGATTCACAGGAAATGGATAGCGAAGGCTTACTAGCTCATTATCCCCATTTTACAGGTAAGGAAACTGAGGCCTAGGGAGAGTAAGTAACTTACCCAAGCTAAGTGGCAGAGCCTGGATTCAAACCTGGCGTGTCTGCCTCCACACTGCCTTCTGGAAGGTTGAGGGGTTCTGGAAGCAGGGGATCAGGCTGTTTCTTGTCTGGAGAATTAGTTGACAGTTGATGAGCCTGTCAGGATCCCCTTGAGAGAGAGCCCCTTTGTACATCCTGTTGGGAGGGAAACCAATCTAGATACAGAGAGAGAGAGTGAGGGCTGGCTGCAGGACCCTGAATGACCCAGAACCAACAGCCCCCGTCCTGGTGGGGTCCTCCAGGGACGGGGCAGAGGTGCAGAGGACACCACAGAGCCTAGATCCCTTGTTGGGCTGAATATTGCCGGTTTGTCCCTAAAACCCTTGGAGCCCTGGAGAGCTCAGCTGACCATGAAGAGACCTGAGCTTGCTCCCAAGTGGCTACAGCCAAAGCAGGCCAGCTCTGTCCCTGCCCACTGCCACCTGGAGGCCACACCCAACCTCACATTTTACACCTTCAGTTCACGGACAGGCCAGGACTAGATAAGGAGGGACAGTGGATATCCTCACAACTCCCGCTCACTGTAGTCGTTCCAGTCTCTGCCCAATGACATCTCCTCAGAGAGGCCTACCCTGACCACCCCATGCAAAGCAGTGCCCTCTCCCAGCCCCACGCTGTCCGGCCTTTCCCAGCCCTCCTCACTCACTGGGACAGAAGCTCCTGGAGGGCAGGGTTTCTGTCTGCCCACAGGGGGCGCAGTGCTGCACAGAGTAGGCACTCAGGAAAGCTGTTCAGACAAATTCATGGCTGATGCCATTTTGCTGGGTTTGCTCAGAGTTCTTCAGGAGGCTCCCCCTCCCTGGGCTAGGGGATGAGCAAGGCCACTGCCTCAGCTTCTACCATTATCATCTTGTCCTCCCCCTCCCTGCTGGGCATCCCACCCCACTAATCAATCAATCAAACATTAATGCCAAAAGCACTTGCTGAGGCAGGTGGAGGCATGGTGTATGTGCTCAACAAAGGTTTATGGGGTCAGTGCCCAGCCCCCCAACCAAACGGTTTCTTTGACAAAAGGTTACCACTGACTTCTCCTTTACTATTTCCTCCGTCCCCATGGGCCCATCATCAGAATGAAAGCAGAAGGTGCACAGAGTTGGTGCAGATGGAAGTGTCTAAGCTGCTGCTATCCAGGTGGCTCCTCTTTGACCCCAGCCCCCTAAAACAGGGGACTGCCCTCTCCCTCCGCCTCTGTGCTCCTGCTTCCCGTAGCCAGGCAGTTCCCGGGCCCCCTACATGCTCTTCCTATGCTGGCCAGGAATGGGAAAGTTCGAGGCCAGCTCCGGCCTTGGGGACTTGGCAGCGCCTTCCTGCTCAGCTCCAAGGAGCACATGGTAGCCTGGCTGCTGGCCTGGGAGGAAGTGGCCCAGACAAGTAGTGGGAGGATGGCGTGACTGCAGAGACACGGAGCTGTGCCTAGGCACACACGCACATGTCCCCGTCTCCCTGGCAGTCACGCAAAGAAAGGCACAGATACTCAGCACCCCTTTGCTCACTGGGCACTTAGCCCCTCACTCTGATGGGTGAGATTCCACCCAGCAGTCAATGTCCCCCCGACCCCCGACATGCCAACAACCGAGGACAAATAGTGGCAACCATCCTGTCCCCGCCTTACCCCCTCCCACCAACAGCCCCAGGACAACATCCACCTCCACCCTGAGACTCACTCTCACACTCTGCTCCACCCTCCAGCCCACAGCCGGGCACTGCCCCCATGGCCCAGTGTGTGGCCTCCATCTTCATGCTAAACAAGTCCTTATGAGTGGCATGACTCTCCGGACACTTCTGGGATGATCTCAGCCAGACCTGCAGATGCAGGACACCACCTAAAGCTGCCCTCAGCCCCCAGATGGACCCTTCTCCCTTCTTCATGAAACTTCCCACAGGGCAAAGCGCACGCACCATTTCACAGAGAACTCCCTCGGGGCCAACACACCTGAGTGTGTTGGGGTTTGGACTCAGACAGAGCAGAGTGCAATCATGGCTCTGCCACACAACAGCTGGCTTACCCCGCTAAGAGGGAGACCAGTGATCAAATGAAAAGCAGAAGAAGTGCCTGGAGGGTGTAGTGAGAATTTGTGATAATCGAACAAGTAGCTCCCAGGAATAGAAATATTATTACATGTAAGCACTCACAAATCACACCAAAGCCAGAAGTCCGTGGAGTCTCCCTGCCCCCTAAGATCCAGATAAACTTGGCTTCATTTCCATCCTATGCCTGTGAAAAGTCCAATCTCTCCCTGTGAATCTGGGACGGAGGCTAAAATATGCACCATCCTTGGTGCTGATCTGCTGCCTAATGCTCCCCCATCCAGTGTGGTAGGACCGCCACATGAGTAGTCCAAATGGAGATGTGCTGTAAGTGTAATGATGAAATAATAATAGTTTGGGATGTTGGTGGTGGTGGCTGATGCATCGATTTCGACTCGTGGTGACCCCATGTGTGTCAGAGTAGAATTGTGCTTCGTAAGGTTTTCAATGACTGATTTTCTGGAAGTAGATCACCAGGACTTTCTTCCGAGGGACCTCTGGGTGGGCTTTTGATTAGCAGCTGATCATGTTAACCTTATGCCACCCAGGGACTCTAAATAAAAGACAGCATGAAAATTAATTTCATCCATTTCTTTTTAATTTTATTTTAGTGTGGCCACTAGAAAATGAAAACTTAGATTTGTGGCTCACATTTTAGTTGCATCGGGCGCTGCTGGTTTCATGGCTGTTACTTTTTTTTGACCCCAGATGAGTTCAAACTCAGAACACACCCCTTTCCTTACTTTCTGTAGAAAACCTGCTCACACCAGGCCTCTGGGTGGGCATCAGAGCTCTCCGTAGGTTTGGGGAGCAGAAGGGGTTGGCCCACACAGTGAATTACCTGGAACTTGAAAGTGTGGCCTCAGCTTTAAACCCCACCATGGTTCTCATCCTTCAGCACCTTGTGCACCAAACTCACCTCCCTCCAGGTCTTGTTTTGTGCATCTTCTGCGAAGTGTTGGAATCTCCATGTGTATAAAGGTCAAATTATCCTCCTAGGCAAGGGCTGCCCTTCTTCCAAGGGTGTGGACTCCTTCTTCTAGGGTTCTGCCTCCCTGCCTGTTAACGTGCTCTCTGTCTGACTGTGAAACCCTCTGGAGCACAGAGAGGAAGGGGCCACGGACATAGCCTCTCACCAGCACCAGGGCTCCCACTCACCCAGGGACTTTAGAACAGTGGTCCCCTCCCTCACCAAGCTTCTTCTTTCAGATTTTCCCACTCTCTTCCAGCTCTCCATCCCCACTCATTCTCACTTGCTCATCTAGACCTCCCATTCCCTCTTTCATGCATGTGCACACACATATCCCCAATACCTGGACCCACACCTCCTCGCAGTCCACTGTTGTCTTTCGGCTGCCGTAGGTGTGGGGAAACTGCCCCATCGTATACAAATCCCCACCCCCCGACAAGTCCACAATCACATGTGTAGGGCCCCTTGAACATTTGTTCATAGGTGAGTGGGTGTGCAGAGAGAGACACGCTTTCATCCATACAAGCACCCACCTAGAAGCCCACACAGGGGCCATTTGGTGGGACCCACCTCACTCACTTACACAGCTTCACATGCTCACACAGCCTCACATACTCACACAATCTCACACGCTCACACACCTCACTCACACAGCCTCGCTTATTCACAAAGCCTCTCACACTCATACAGCCTCACTCACACAGCCTCACAAACTCATATAACTTCACACACTCACACAGCCTCATTCTTTCACAAAGCCTCGCACACTCATACAGTGTCACTCACACATCCTCACACACTCATATAACTTCACATGCTCACACACCTCACTCACACAGCCTCACACACTCACACAGCCTCACACATTCACACAGCCTCACACGCTCACACAGCCTCACACACTCACATGCTCACACAGCCTAACACACTCACACAGTCTCACACACTCACACAGCCTCACACACTCACACAGCCTCACACGCTCACACGCTCACACAGCCTAACACACTCACACAGCCTCACACACTCACACAGCCTCACACATTCACATAGCCTCACTCTCACACAGCCTCACTCACACACTTCACATACTCACATAGCCTCACATGCTCACATAGCCTCACACACTCACATGCATGGCCTAGACCTCTTCATGTGGGTGCTGGCTTTGTGAACAGCCACACATTCTCTCACATGCGGCTTCACACTCATTCCTGTTATATACACAGTCCCCTCTTCCCTTCTCACCCCAAGTTAGGAAGCCCTCTGTC